GTACTTACCAATATCTTCCCACCTCTGGGCCTGTTGGGATACACAATGGTGGACTTCTGATCTACTTTGCGTAAGAACCAGAGTGGTAGCTTTTTCTCTAAGCTGGTGTGAAGTTCCACCTAAAATGTATTTTGGATTTATTGATAGACTCATTAATTAATATCTGGAAATCTTACACTGCATAGAAAGAATCATGAGTACAGAAAAATGAAGATTGATTCCTGTGTCCTAATGTATGCACAGGAGCTGGGCTGGCTCGGATTCCTCAGCCCTTATTCAGTCACCTTCCTCCACCTCTTCCCCTCCCTCATCCACCCACAGGACAAGGGATGCAATCTTTTGGGGTGGGGACAAGCTGTTAAGGGAATAATCCAATGTAGGTCAGCAGGTGTTTAGTTTTCAGGGACTGTGATCAACATTGGAGGTATAAAGAAGAAACAGACAGTCTGTGCTCTTGGAGCATTGCAATACTACCGAATGTCACAGCTGGGGAGAGCAATGATATGAATGTAGAAGGGAGAGGACAGGGTGCTTAACCAGGGGAACATAACGTAAAAGAGTAAAAAAAAAAATAGAACTAGGATGTCTAAGAGTATTTGGTGAATTTTTATGCTATACTATCAGGTGCAAAATGGTGTACTGAAGAAATTTCTATTTGGGAAGGTATAATATTTTACCTCACCCAGTGCTTCTGTTTTGAGCTTTCATTTAGTTTAATTTTTTTTATTATTTTTAAATCTTCCTTTTGTGTTGGCCAAATTAATCTTTCACACATTTTTATAATCTTTGTGTCAGTTGATAAAAATGTTCATCGTAACTTCCACAGAGTGGAAGATTTGAAAGATTTGCTTTCTCATCTATGACCATATGTTTTTCAATACCTGGGTGTTTAGGTGATTGATAGTCATAAATGGTGAGATGGTAGGAACTTCCCTGATCGTAATGATTAGAATTACAGTCCCCACTGACCCCTATAAGACTCTGTCTGACTTCCCTGCTATTTTTATGGTGCTTACCCCACCCCCCAACTTCCTACATGTTAATTTCAGCTTCAAGAAAAATTACGTTTTCTTGTACTGTGCTAACAATACCAGTGAGATATTTTCTTTGATTTTCTATAATACTTTTTCTGAGTTCCTTGTGTCCCCTTGGGTCTTTAGGGTAATATTCCTTTCCCCTTGCCATATTTATTTTTTAGAGGCTACATGTTATTATTTATTTACTCAAAGTCAATTTATTCAAGTCTTGAGTTTGCCAACAGAGAGGATATGGTGTGCAAAACCCCTGTTTATTAACTTTATAGGAATTACCAAACTGATTCTCAAGTATGGTCCTGGAGAGGTTGCAAGCAGAGGTTTCACAATGGATGCCAAGAATTGCTTTAAAATAACTCAGGGGAAAGAAGAGAAGGGCCTCCTAGCTTTCTGGTCAA